TTTTTTTATATAGAAAAAAGTGCCCAATGCGGGATTCGAACCCGGGTCGTAGCGGTCGAAACCGGTTTTCAACCACTTTTCCACCGATCCCCCCCCCCTTAAATATTTCTTATAACGACAAATGAAAACTGACAAATGCTTCTATTACCTTGTTCTATCTATAGAACACACATAATGTTTCCACCACTAAAATATTATCGATTAATTAATTATTGCGTGATAATTATATATCGGAGGAGAGAATTATGGGGGGAGGTAGTCTTCGCAAATTACCAAAATTAGACGCGAAACGGAGCTCCCTCTAGTGGCCAAAAATAAGTTCCTAAACTAACTTTTATCACTTTAATTGCTCGAAGAAAGCTATAGGAGGTCCACACGTTTCCTATCTCTCACAATCTCTCATCATTGATTAATGATTTACAACAAACTAGCTGAGAGAAGAATCAACTAAAAACTGAAGATGGAATTTGAACAGAATATGGCCCTTACATTTTCACGCTACGAATTCATTAACTCAACTTCTGAAGAAATGTTTAACTATTTCTATAAATTTGGTGAGTTGCAATCACAACTCTATATCAGGATATATTTTAAAACCACCCTTTTCTTGTAAAGAAATAAAGATGAATTTGATTTAAAAACAGGTCTAATTTGAACCTACACGGATTTATCTCTTTTAAAAAGCGTTATTAACTTAGCATCATCTATTATTGAAAATTATAAATATTTTAAACTCCACTTTTCTTTTTAAAATATATATAATTAAAAGCTATATAAGTTGTTCCAAAAGTAATGCCCCTTTGGCCATAAATTCATAAGGTACTGAATATTTTATATTCACATTTTTGTATACCTTTGAATAAAATATATGCGAATAGAATGGTATATTCAAAATATTCTCCAGCTTTGAACCCGCGCTGTAAATCCGCTTTCGAAATATGTTTGGCATTGTTTTCTCAACCATGTTTTTTATGGCCCGTTTTACTTCCTGTTGGTGTTCATATATTTGTCCTTCCAGACCTTTATTAATTGGTGAGAATAAATTGAAGTCACAAAGTGCTAAATCTGGGCTCTATGGAGGTTGTGGAACCAGTGACCAGCCCATTTGTCAAAAAGCCTCTGAAGTCTGGACGGATGTTTTGCAGCCGTGCATTGTCACGGTGTAACTTGACGGATTTAAGAGGAATCTCTATAGCTTTCATAAGCTTTGGTAAAGTTTGAAAACATAGCGAGAACTGTTCACAGTGCTACCTGCTTCTAAAATATTAATCAGTATTACACCACGCATGTCCCTAAAGACAGTTGCCATCACCTTTTGGATGACACATCTGAACTTTGAATTTTTGTTCTTAGGTGATCTAGGATGTCCTTCTAATGGCTGTGACTTAGTTTATGGGTCATAAAGGTAATGTCTAGGTTTCAATTTCGACTACATTTGAAAAAAAAGGTGTCTTTTGGGCCTCATAGAGATCCTCTAGTTCTTAGCATAGTTGAACCCTTTGATCACGCTGATCAGGGGTTAGTTTCCTCGTAACCCATTTTGAAATTTTATTCTATAGCCAAGATATTAAATCATTGTTTCTATTGCATTATATTCAACATTTAGTATATTACACAACTCTCTGATATTTATTATCTGATCATGACGGATAAGTTCATCAACTTGTCTTCGTTTTCAGGATTTGTTGCTGTTGATGGCATCCCACTATGTGGTTTGTCATCTAAAGAAGTCTCACCTTCATTGAGATTGAATTTATTCTACATATGTAGACATATGGTGTACGTAGTGTAGAAACAGTTCCTCACTCCATGATTATCATGGAGGTCGATCTAAAACGTTGGTTTTATGACTGTTACGACCCAGGATCGAATCCCGCATTGGGCACTATTTTCTAATTGAAAAAATGGTCGCCTATTCTGACAAAAATAAAAATACACCAGTAAGTGCACGTAACCAAAAGGGGCTCTGGCACCCGTGTAAAAGCAAAAGTTGAACTGATTTTCACATGTGTACACATGTGGTGCAATTTTAGTAAAAGCAGACGCTGACTTCTACCCAACATTATTATTATGACCTGTACCACGTGTACTATGGATGATTAAAAATCATGGCTTGGATCAGTATTACTTTGAAAATGTTAAAAAATACTATATACACTAGAACCTCCATGAGAAGACACTCCCGCTAGAGGACATCTCTCTACAAAGGGCAGTTTTTTTTTTGTAAAATAACAATTATTCACTTTTCAGAAACCCTCCGATTAGAGGACACCTCTCCCTGAAGGACACTTTGGCTCTGCAATTAGGTGTCCTTTACAGGGAGGTTCTACTGTATAACAATTTCTAACTCACACACACACACAAACATCCAAAAATACCATTCATATAAAAAATTATCAAATGGAAAAAAACAACTATTGAAATCTGTACATGAAAAAATACAATATGATTTTTTTGTATAAACAAAAACGTCTTAATGCATTTTCTATTCGAACCATACATTTTGTATAAAACATTTAATTGCAATATATTTCTAGCTAAAAAAGAGGAAATGCTAAATGTCGCGTGTCGGGCTCTGATTCTTGGCACCAACATGTCTCATTCTTTTTACACTTCCCGTCCAAATGAAAAAGTGGTAAATTACTGGCGGATATTTTAAAAGGCAAAAAATTATGTCACGAAATCTATGAAAAGTTTATCAAAAATTGACAATAATTTATATTACTTCTATATACATACTTAGGATATATTACTTTGCCCTTGAATATATAAATATAGTGTGAAAAATAGTACGAATGTGATTTTGTACTGGGATGAGGTGCATAAATTATGAAAAAGAAAAAGGCCTCTCCTTATCTTGCAACTTAAAGTTGCTGATGGCTTGCGCCATCTATCGGAATATATATCAATTATTCTCGTTGATTTTTAATTATTCCAGAATTGGCCAAATACCCATTCTTGATTAATAAAGAAAAGCTAAACACGTACGCATTTTGGGCTGTTGGCCCTCATAAGCGTGGTGCAACCTGTGCCTCAACGACCTGAATGACCAGTTATGCGTTGAGCTTGCACCACGCTGATGAGGACCAACAGCCCGAAACGCGTACCTACTTATCTTTTCTTTATTAATCAAGAATGGGTATTTGGCAAATTCTGAAATAATAAAAAATCAATGATAATAGTTGATATTTATTCCGATAGATAGCGCAAGCCATCACCAACTTTCAGTTTCGCGAAGTTGCGCGTTTAATGGGCAGAAATTATAGAATAACCCCAGAATTCTTTGATGTCAATATATTCGAAAGTTCCTCCACTTCGAAACCATTTTCAGATTGCCTCAAGTGACGATATCTTCTATTCTATTCAAAATTATTATCCCTAGCACACTTAGTACAGGTCTTCATGAATATGGTTCAGGTAGTAATTGACTCTGCTTTCACGCCTGCATTGACGCTTGAAACCACTCTGACCATTGTGGCCACCGCGACTGCATCTAACCTGCTTACCACGACAATAATAAGACAGGAAAACATACCACATATATATGGTAAATCGAACCAACAACACCATATTGTGTATAATATAACAAGATTTTAATGTTGTATATTAGAAACACATCTATAAATAATTATACGCATGATTGACATGTGTCATTAAATCACCATATGTAAGGTACTTTGTACAAACTGAGGATAAATAAATAAAACTCTGTGATAGATTAAGAGTTGAGCTAAAGCAAGAGATTAAGATCGAAGTCAACGAGGCCTAGAAGATGTCAGGGGCGTTGCCAGAGTGTACAATATCGCTTCCGATCCACGCCCTTGTTGCATCCTTTGAAATTCAATACTTCCTCTCAGCAAAGATATATAAACCTCCAACAGGGCCAGAAATAAATAGTGACTTGACCATTAGCGGGAACCCTCGTCAGATGTGTCCAAGGTCCACCTCATCGACCATGTAGAACAGTAAGAACTCTTCTATCTCCATTTTTCGCTCCTAGCTCGACTTTTATCTGTTCACGGAACTTTCCTAGTACAACTGTATCTCTTCGTTTTTTGTGTTTGGAAATTCCCAAGTTTTCCACTCTGCCTCGACCACGACTGCCTGTACTCTGTTAGAACTGTTAAAGGTCTTCCAAGGTGCAGAGAGGTACTGGAAAACTCTCCACATCCTGACTATTCCTCTCGGTTAACACAGTATAGAGAGAGTCGACAGGATACCTCACTACATATATATACTGTATATATATATATTCGAAACTATTATAGATCCGTATGATTCTTTTAAGAATTAAACAATTTCTACTGCCCTTACTGCAATGGAAAAATTAATGCGAGGGCCTGGCTCATTATTTTTTCATTGATGTAAGGGCAGTAGAAATTGTTTATTTTTTAAAAGAATCATACGCGTCTTTGATTGTTTCGAATTTTCATAACAGATGATGCGCTAATGCATCATAATACAGTAATATATATATATATATTATAGCGGATGTGTACCGGCTTCGCCCGGGTTTTATCCGAGTGAAAGTTTGCCTAACGAATATTATATATTATGAAGTATAATAAACAATGCTAAAGATTAGTTTTAATTATTAATCAAGATTGTGTGTGAATATGTGAGAAAGATGTAATATCGTTGTTGTTTTCTTGGCCGACTGTTTTACATATGGTGTTATCTTAAAATTGCTTGTTTTGAATATTTTTTTAGATTGAGTTGAATGAATTGCTGAATTATTTTTTGTATTTATATATAAATAAAATTAACTCTGTCGAATTTTTTTTGTATTTTATCGATAACATCAAAGTTATGTATTTTGAAGTTAGGAAAATATTTTGATGTTAAGCAAAACCTGCTCCATCTCGTTTTACATAAATGTTGAAAATTTGGTCGAAATTGATGCATTGTAACGAAAGTTTTTAGCGAACACCACTTATGACATTTCCATTTATATAGAAGATATATAATATAAATGAGTTTTAAAAATTGTTAAAAAAAAATGCATCGGCCGGGAATCGAACCCTGGCCCGCCCGCGTGGCAGGCGAGCATTCTACCACTGAACCACCGATGCTTTAAAAAATCAAATTCATTTATCGTCGCGACCAGTGCTGCGCCCTAGCGGTAAAAGACTGGAACTAACGCTTTTTGGTTTTTTATTTAAAAAAAAAAGCACATTAACTTTTTTTGTTTTTTGAATAGCCTATATGTTAAAAGAAATCTTCAGCTACCTACATGCGAAATTCCATAATGATTGAGTCAGTAGATTTTGCGTGATGCAATAACAAACATCGATTTCGCATTTCATTTTTATATATATAAGGAAGGAAGGATATAATCTAAAAATGCAAATGTATATTTTTTAAAACATATATTTTATTATTCTTCATTGACTGTGTTACATATTTTGACCATAGTTTTAAAATATACCACTTTGAATGTTGTTGTAAGTATGTATAGTTAACATACCTTTTATTTTTAATTCATCCATTCTTGCGCTCCAGGGGACTGGGTTATCCATATTTCTATTTCTCTTTTTAATTCACTAATATAGGATTCATTTTATAAATTCTATATAAATGTGATAAATATTAAATGTATAATTTGCTTCAAGTAATTGATATTAGAAGCTACTCTTGAGATAAAAAAAATAACTATCTTTCCTATTTTCACGACTGCACCTTCAATTTCTCTATCTTTTTAACAACAAAACATTAAAATTCATAGCATATATATATATCCTTATATCTATAAAAATGAAATCCAAAATCGATGTTTGTTATCGCGTTGCGCAAAATCTACAAAATAAATCATTGTGAAATTTCGCATGTAGGTAGCTGAAGATTTCGTTTAACATATAGGCTATTCAAAAAACTAAAAAGGTTAATGTGCTTTTTTTTTTAAATATAAAACCAAAAAGTGTTAGTTCCAGCCTTTTATCGCCAGGGCGCAGCACTGGTTGCGACGATAAATGAATTTGATTGGTTAATAATTTACAAGTGGTTTGTTTACACGATGAGTGTTAGTTTGTTTACATGGTGAATGTTTTTAAAGGTAAGATTATCCAATCGCCGTGAAACCTTAGGAAGTTATATATTTACTATACTACTGGGAAGGTTTCTGGTTTGAATTTGATTTGAAATAAATATTATTTGCAATTTTATTTACAAATTTCCTACTTTCACTCGCAAGCAGCGCCTCTCGCGGTATCTGGTGAAATTATATTTATAAATTGTAACAATGCTTAAAATGTGTTCCAAGTATAATCCTGAGATTTTCTGTTTCGAATAGGAGCTATAGACGATCCGGGATGTTTATGTGGAAAGAAAAAGCAGGATTCCAGTCATCTGCTTCTTGAGTGCCCAATCTTCCAGAACTACAGAAACCGGGAAAACATCGAATACAAGGATCTTTTTATGTTTGTAAATAGTAAGGACTCGTATTTTAAATTTAGAAAATTCTGTAAATATATCTATGATTTTCTCTCTTGGTTAAAAAAAACCTTAATTATTACCTATTTGTATATTTTTTTGGTTTGTTTATTTTGTTGGTTGTGATGTAAAATCAAGAATGATTTTAATGTCCTCTTTCTTATCTTTTCAAATCTTGTAATTATTTAATTTTTTTTTTTTTTGTAATATAGTATCTGAATTTAGTGTTGTTATTGACGCAAGCATCCCTTGTAGGGATATCGCGTCTGATTTGATAAATAAATAAATAAATAATAAATTTAATTTGAAAATTTAGTAATATAATATTCCAATGACGTAAAATAACTTGGAATTCTAATATTAATATATATTTAAAGAAAATATTGCAACGTTTTTGTGTTAAATGTTAAAATGTAATGTTAAAATATATTTTTACATTGTAATTCAATTTGTTGTTGTTTTATAATAATGAGGATGAAAATTACATTTCTGTTGTTGTTTATTATCCTTTGTTTATATAAAAAAAATTACATTGTTTGTGATGATGATAACAAAAATGAATTTTTAAATTAATATATATAATTCATAGAGAAAAAAAGAAATAATTAATTATCAAATTCACAAAAGTCACAATATCTTATTTAAAATATAATAAATGTTTTCATAAAATTATGTGTGTTTCAAAAATATATTTAAACGCATATAACAATATTTTATAAGTTTATAAATCTATATATAGGTGGATTGGATGTTTTCTAGAATCGTTTTAACAAATGTTCGTTAGGCAAACTTTTACTCGGGTAAAAACCGGGTGAAGCCAGGAACATATATATATATATATATATATTTATATATATGTGAATAAATAGTACAAATGTGATATTGTACTGGGATAAGGTGCATAATTATGAAAAAAGGCATCTCCTTATCGTGCAACTGAAAGTTGCTGATGGCTTGCGCCATCTATTGGAATAAATATAAGCTACTTCTCGTTGATTTTTTATTATTCCAGAATCGGCCAAATACCCATTCTTGATTAATCAAGAAAAGCTAACCACGGACGCGTTTCGGGCTGTTGGCCCTTATCAGCGTGGTGCAAGCTTTACCTCAACGACCAAAAAAAAATTTAAGGCATCCTGAAAAATCATGAAACGGGTAGTTAAAGCCAGAATTGCGTGAGACCGCGACACAATGTGAAAAAATAGTACAAATGTGATATTGTACTGGGATAAGGTGCATAATTATTCTTATTGCACGATAAGGAGATGCCTTTTTTCATAACTATGCACCTTATCCCTGTACAATATCACATTTGTACTATTTTTTCACATTGTGTCGCGGTTTCACGCAATTCTCGCCTTAACTACCAGTTAAATGATTTTTCAGGATGCCTTAAATAACCAATTTTTTTTTTAGTCGTTGATTTATTTTAACCACTTTTAAACGCTCCGACGCTCTCCCGCCATGGATTCCTGCAAGAAGAATAAAGCCAATAAGCCCTCTCAACCCTCGGTTGACCTCGCGGCCAGCCCTCCCTAGCAGCTCTTCACCTGGACCTTGTTCGCTTCATTGAGCAGCGAACAGAAATAATCAAGTGCCTAGTTAGGGATGTGAAGAACCTCGCGGGCACCGTGAATGACTTCATGGAGCTGGATGATATCATGGATGCCCAAATGCCCAAGAAAACCTGCCAAACCACTCAAACTAGCCCTGCTTCCACCTTCAAGGACTCTAGCGCTCAGACCGAGCTCATCAAGCCTACCACCCCCGCTCCAGCTGCTGCCCCTGTGGCAGCACCTGCTCCCAAGAAGACAGATCCTGCTCTAACCAAGAGGAAGCAGCCAGAGGCGTCAAACCCGCCCGCTAAGAGGAGCAAACCACTGGTTCCAGTCAAGCCAGCATCTTCCCGCGCCCCCAAGCCTGCCGTTGCCAAAGGCACCCTCAATGGGGAGAAATCTGCGGCCTACATCGTGGTTATTGCAGATAACCCGCAGGCTGACCCACGGGACAGCCTTAAAGCTGTCCGCGCTGCCCACACTCTGCCCCAAGGCGTCTGGGCGTCTTTGCGACCAGGGGAAAAATAGTGCTGCACTCCAACACTCCAGAGGCCATTCCTGCCGTCAGCTCTGCCCTGGACAACAAGCTCTAAGGCCTGAAAGTCCGGGAACTGAGGCAATTCCTCCCAAGAATCTGCCTCTTCAACGTGGAGGCGGAAACCGCGGATGAGGACATTGTCAAGGCCTTCCTTTCCACCGATGCCTTCAGCCATCTTCCTGGAGACAAGTCTGTCCGAGTGACACACAGATCTCCGACCAGAAATGGCACCTGCACGGCCTTTATTGAGCTGGACTTGGCTTCCTACAAGGCCATTGGAAGACACGGTAGGATCATTGTAGACCAAGTGATCCTGAACTACGAGGAGTCTGTCCGCGTTCGCGTCTGCTACCGCTGCTGTGGCTATGGCCACAACGCCGATAGGTGCACCAAGGCTACAGTCACCTGCTTCCACTGCGCTTCCGGTGACCACCAAGGCCGAAGCTGTCCAACTCTTGCCAACCCGCGAACGGCCAAGTGCGCCAACTGCTCAGCTAAGGGCCTCTCTGCCGACCACAAGGCAAGATCAATGTATTGCCCATCTGCCAGAGCTAGAGCTGCAAAGTTCTAGTCCTCCCGCCTTCTTCCTGCCTCCTGACCTCCGCGGACCCAATCCGGCCTAACCTGCCTCTTCCCTGACGGTGATCCTGTCCTTAGCCTCTCCATCCTGGTCATAGTGGTTTATATATTCCGCTTTACGCGGCCATTGGGGCTCAAAAATCATTTATTTTGGTTAGCAGCCCCGTAAATAAAGATATTTTCTCTTGGTCGTTGAGGTACAGTTTGCACCACGCTGATGAGGGCCAACAGCCCAAAACGCGTCCGTGGTTAGCTTTATTTGATTAATCAAGAATGGGTATTTAGCCAATTCTGGAATAATTAAAAATCAACGAGAATAGTTGATATTTATTCCGATAGATGGCGCAAGACTTCAGCAACTTTCAGTTGCACGATAAGGAGATGCCCCTTTTCATATATATATGTGTTTGTCGGCTATGCAAGCCCTCAATATGTAACTAATCTCGCTGAAATTTGAACAGGACAGAAAGTTGAATCTGGAAGAGTTTTTTGTCGCACTTTTAACCAAGAATAATTATAATTAACCAAATACTGAGTAACAATTATTTTTTAGTCAGAAATGATTATGACAATATTGCTGTATCATGCTTGTTTGACATAAACAGAATTCTTTAGGGGAATATTCTCTAAAGCAGACCACGGGCGAAGTCAGATAATAATTTTTAGTAGGCAGGAACAAAATCTACCAGCGAAACATTCACTCGAGCAGAAGACACACGAAGCCAGGTCATCTCTCTATATAAAATATCGTTTCTCGGCCTTTTGGCTAAGATCATGTAGTATATCTCTAGATATTTTTATTCATATATATCTTTTTTAAAATTTTTATATAACTTTCCTCTCTCTAAATGATTTAAAAAGTGAAAAGATTTGCAAAGAAATTTATAATGTAACGAATATTATTATCATTATTATCATATTATTCTGTGTGTTCCGGAATATTATTATCAATAATATTCGTTAGGCAAAC